ATGTTCAAAGAACCTTTTAGGATGTTTATTTTTTCAAATAATGTTCCTATAAGGTTTAAGGTCAACTAAGACATAGCGTTTTAACTGCAACATTCAGAGGATGTTTTGAGGATGTTATTGAGGCCTGAGATGACAAAACGTTTTTTTATAAAACGTTCCTTTAATGTGATATGTTAACAAAGGTGGAACGTTTTGCCTGCAACATTCTAAGGATGTGTTTTGGACGTTGTTGGGGTAACGCATTAAAGATGTTCTTTATAACAGTCTTCAGCAAGAATTGAAACTGAGCAATCTCATTCCTCTGCATGTTTTTAAAGCTAGGCTAAATGAAATGCTCGTTGATACTATGGGCACTTGTAAATGTCTATAACTATGTAAATGTATCATGTAAATATAATGTATGATGTCCTTTATTGTTTTATGTTTCATGTGGAACCTATATGCTGCAGGTCTCCCTTGAAAAAGAGATCTATGATCTCAAGGGACCAATCTGATTAAATAAAGGTTTGAAATTAAATGAAATGAAAATAAAACGTTCCCTCAATGTTACATGATAACAAATGAAGAACATTCTCCAAGCAACATTCTGAAAATGTTTTCAGGATGTTATTCTTTTTTTATAAAACGTTCCTGTGATGCAAAATATTAACACGGTCATGGTCAACGTCAGATTTATTTCTAGAGCGCTTTTAAAAACAAACTTGTTGCATCTGTTTGAAAAGGATGTTTAAAAAAAAAATCTGATGTCACCACATTTTCCTTTTGAAAAAAACAAACAAGCACGTAATTCATGATAAGCTGTAATCAGATATTGCATGTGGCATGTGTGAGTTCCCAGCTAGACATATTTTAGTAAATTGTTACCACAGAACATTTGCATAATGTTTGAAACATAAAGCATGTTATCCTTCTCTAAAATAATAACATTCTGGCAACATAAACAAATCTAACTTGCAGCGAAAACATTTTAAGAACCGTAGGGCATAATGTTCTAACAATGTTATCACCAAACATTTTAAGAATGTTTTTAGAAAACGTTATCCTACCTTTCAGAAGAACGTTCTGGGAACCAAAAGAAAACTTCCCGTTGAAAACATTCCTAGAACAATGAATGTAACATTCTCAGAACGTTTTTAGAACCAAAGATGTCTAGCTGGGTGAGGAGCAATATATACTGTATATCAAACCATTTGTCATCAAGTTACTGCATATTAATCGCTTTTTAACCTGTTCTACACCGGAAACAGCGTCTGAGGGCATCTTAATATTCAATAAACTATGAATGTTTTATATCCATGTAACGGGAAGAAACTCAGCTAACTAATCATTTTCTTTTATCAAAAAAACCCCACTAGCTAACGTTCTGCCTCTGAATTAGCCACGAGCAGAAAAATGCTAACGCATTACTGCACAGAAACTCACTCATAAGCAGTGTTGGGCAAGTTACTGCCAAAATGTAATATATTACATATTACTTATTACTGTCTTTTGAAAGTAATAAGTTACATTACAATATTACTGTCTCTGAAATGTAATGAGTTACACTCCTACTTTTTAGTTACTTTCACCAAAATAACCGCAAAAGAATGGCTAGGTATTTCAAATGCTGAAATGTAGTTTAGTGCAGCTAATTATACATCCAGTGAAGGGCAATGTGGTGTAGCATAACTGTGTAGGCCCTTAAGGCTACTAGTACTAACAACTTGCATTACACGGCTTAGTTGAATACTCGATTCTGATTGTAAATTCTTAACATGTGACACGTTGTTAATCCAGTACAGACCACTGTCAAGGACTATAATGAAGGTTGCTGGAGCAATAGTGGCCGGCAACAGCAATGAAAAATAGCATTGATGGTCCCCAATGAACAGATTATGGCATTTGTTATGTTTTGAAACCAAGCAAGTGAGAACATTTCAAGTGAGTTAAAAGTGCAATCCTGAAATATCTCATATAGTCCAAAGTGGACTGTGGCAAAGAAAAGCACAACAGCTTCAAAGCTGTACTGATAAAACAAATGAGAACCTCATCGTAAATCAAGGCAAATATTATTTGAACCAGCTCATGGTTTGAAATGGCAAACATTGAAAAGCAAAAGTATTATTAAAACCATGTACTAAACATCACCTTGGTCCCATCATATACTCTGGGAAGAGAATATTTACTGTGCTTGAAAACTGGTATCACATCATCATGTGAGGTTGACTTTGTGACCTGGAGAACATTTCAGCTGCAACATTAGCTTGTTGATAAGCTTGGGATATGAGATATTTTTGTAGCCATTCGTGGTGAAGGCATCTGTGCTATTGTATGCATTATTTTTGACCCAACATTTCTACAGGCATGGCAGAATATGGCACTATTTTCACATGAATATTCCCTTGTCTATTTTTATACCACGAGCTGCAAGATGACCGCCTAACCCCACTGTACAGGCGGGTACTTGTTTAGATATACCTGGGCAGGCTCTGTTTTGCCGTGGTATCCTGGCACCTGCGGGCCGCAGAGGGGCGCCGTAGTTTCGGGCGACGAAGACTGCTGCTCCGGGGGCGAGTCAGGCACAGGAGGGTCACGTGATGTCCCCATCTGACCTGTTGCTACGGTCTGTAGTAGATGCAGTGTTGCTGGCGTTTAGTGATGGTTGCTTTAACCATTTTCGTATAAATGATTATCCACAGATGTGTGTCACTGCTGTGGAAGCACTTTGGAAATGATGCACGTGCAGCGGAGCAGGTCACGCGCACCTGACACAATTTGTTGTTTGTATTTTTCACTCCGTTCTCTTTTTTGAATAGAGGGTGCATAACATTCAACTGCCCCGAAGATCCCGACGCGAAGCCTGAAGGGTAAACACCAGGTTTACTAATCTACCCGCACAATTTGTCTGGTGTCGGAATGTCTCGCTATGTTAGTACATTCTTAAAAAACATTTCGGGTTAAAATGTGTTGTAACTGCGTTACTGAGCATTGTAACGGGTAATATATTACCCACATTTCATTAGTAATGCGTTACATTACTCCGTTACAGCAAAAAGTAATATATTACTGTAACGCGTTACACCCAACACTGCTCATAACACCCTTATTAATTATCGTAGCTGCACGTCCAACCCATCGATTAGCATCGTGAGAAGACACAGAATCGATCGGACATTATCACTCCATGATAAGAACTCGCGAAGATATTAACAAGAACAGACGTCAAAACATGTGGTGCTAGGTTGCTAAAAACGGCAAAATGGCTTACCTTGGTCGTTGTCTGGTCAAAAGTGGTCTTCAATGTAGGGGTGGGCGATATTGAAAAATATATTATCACGATATCTTTCAAGCAGTATCACGATAGACGATATATATCACGATATTTTTTCATGTCGGTTATTATGGTTATTTTTCAAGTTACTTAACAGTACAAGCACCTACAAGGTAACAGAAACTAAAACAAAAAGGAGTAACAGACCAAAATAGCATTTCAAGCTGGTTTTATTTCTGAAATGAATCCCTGAATGAACAATTCAACATTTTGATATGGCTTCAAGGCACAGTTTCTCAGTATAAAAATGAACTTTCTGAGGTAGCACTAGCACGACAGTAAGGGGAATACTTACTTCCGGGTGTACAATTCTCCGTTATCCAATGAGAATGGACGCTCACATTGCCTTTAAGGGCAGCCGACACAAACGAATGCTGTGCTTCCATGAGCGTCAAATCCCGCTGCAGATGGGAATACATTGCAATCAGTTGAAAGCTATTTGCGTCCCTTTATGAAGCTGAAGGAGCCTAGTCTCTGTGGCTTCAGGCTTGATCGCCGTTCAAATGACAGTTTTAATGATCTCAATGGGAATGGTTAGCGTTTCATATGCACGCAAATAAAATATAAGCCAACAGAATCAACCAAGACAATAAATGAAGTACAATACTGTCTGAATCCTGACTAGACAGCTTTAGAGCATGTCTTTCACATCAGTTTATTTTTTTTATAGTTTATTTTATTTTCAATTTTTATTTATTTTTTTATCACGATAGATACGATATCTCTGAAAAAGCATATCGTGGAGACCTAATATCGTCACGACGATATATATCGTCATATCGCCCACCCCTACTTCAATGGCATTAAAACGATAAAAACGCTGCTGAAGTTAATCCATAGGTTAATCCAATGTGTCTGTGTCCCTTTGAAATGATTTCTGATAATCCATAAGCAATAAACCTGCTTTTCCATTTCCAGATGTCAGAGCGAGAGATAGGTTCGTTCTGATGCAAAACTGTGTGCACATAGCTCTCATTTCTCAATGGTAAGGTGCGTGTGTATGTGGAAATTCCCCTTTGATTCTATTGGCTCTAACGGTCAAAAAGAATCGACCAATGGGTTCCAGAGAAACGGTAAAAACGGCCATTTCCACCCAAATCACCTCAGAGGTGGAGATTTTTTTGCTAAACCTCTCTAAAAAGGTAAAATGTCACTTGTTTTTGCATCAGTCTTGATACAGGGTACTTATTATATGTTGTATTTTGGATTCCTAAAGCTTTTAGTCTACTAACCCATCATCCAAGGGTAGTTTTCACTATAAGTACAAAATTATTTTTGGACGGACTCTATAATTTACATTTTTCAATCTGAATTTACTTTCAAATAAAATAAAATCTATATTGATTCTTACTTTTCTACATCCAATTCACAGGTTTATCATTGCTTTGAGAAAAAAGATTATTAATTTACCCCTTTTAGAAGGGAAGATATTGTCATTTATTGTGGGAATGTCATTTTCGAGCCTGAGACCTGAAAAACAGGCTTGGGGCTCAACAGGTTAAGGTTAGGATAAGTCAATGTAATGTCCCCTGAAGTAATGTATACATGGTATGTGTGTGTGTGTGAATAGGATGATTTTAAGATGTCTTTTTTCCAGAGATAATGGATTTCAAATTAAATTATGTCAGTGTACTCTTCTTTACGGTGGGGAGTAGTAGCTAACAGTTGTCTCTTTTCCTTCTTTAGGTTCCATTGCCATTGGATAAGATGAAATAAGATTGTGACTGTGTGCTGGATATCTTCAACATTGTTGTTATGATGCAAGGACCAGAAGGAATGCTACCAGGAGCTTATGTGTATGGACGCCTCTTCAAACCGACTCACCCTGTTTAGACATGAGAGATTAACTAAAGTCAACAGGGACGAATCAGTAAGATGCATCATCACCTTGACGACCAGCCCGATCAATAAGAAGCTCCGACTGATCTCAGCCGCTGGTCGGGCGTCTCATCAACAGTTTCTTGTCTTGTAGTTGTCTTCTTGCCACTCGCAAAACATGCGTCCTTCCCTTGCCACTGCAGTCCTGCCCCCCAGGACCCGCTCCCATAACCCACCCAACCTAGCAGTTGGGGGCCGTGAACACTTGTCAGCTCCACGGAGGCGCAGCCCCCACCTGAGGCACACGCTCAGCCCGGACAACCTGAGGACTCTGGCGGAGAGGGGGGGGGGCTGGCGGCGATAACGTCTCTGTCATCAGCAATCCTATCCGGCTTCCGCGGGCCAACAGTGACACTGACCTGGTGACGTCCCACAGCCGATCCTCCCTCACAGCCTCCACTGTGGAGCACACGCTGAACCGGGGCCAGAACCTGGTCATCTCCTGGGACATCAAGGAGGAAGTGGATGCTACCGACTGGATCGGGCTGTATCACATTGGTGAGACAATTATCTGTCTGTAGTTTCAGTAGAGCTGCAGTTAACAGTCCTGGGGAAACTCCAGGACAAACCTCAAGTTTTTCAAGACAAATACGAGCAGCCTCAACTCCTGAGGACAGGTTTGGGTCGAGTCACAGGCTTCCAATAGCAAATTGCATATGCAAATATGTACTACAAATATGATAAATGAAATCTATGCATATTCATATAAAGTCCTAATAAGTATGCAAAGTATGCAGTTATGCATATCATTTGTTCTTTATATTCTGGGACTTTAATTGGTTTTAAAACGGTTGGTAATCTTGAGAAGTTAATGTTTCTAGTCTTACGCTGATCTGTGCACAGTGTGAGATGGTCCATAATAAAGATCTTAGAGACCCTTTGTAAAATATATATTTTGGGTATATCAAATCCTGCAATTAAAAAATTCAAGCAGAAATCAGTTATTTGTCAAACTATCCCGACGTTTGAAATCACGCAAAGTCTTGAGTCAGAGTCAGTTAACTCAGTTGTCATGAGAACTGTTCTGTTATTATATCATATATAGGAAGTACCCTGCCTGTCCTCAGAGCTGTTCAGCTGATGATGGTTTATTGTTGAACTTAGAATAGCCGGGGTTAGTCTTGTGTAGAGCTTCCAACTCCAAGTCAATACTGCAACAGGAGCTGCTGAGACTCCACACTTTAGACTGGAGGCTGAGTCAACATGTAAGCGCTCTGCCTTGGTATACATAGCATACACACCATCACAACGCTTGCACTTCTGTGAGGGGAATGGGTGGTCTCCAATAATGTATGCTTACCCTGCTTAGAGACAGGAATTGGACAGGGGGAAATACACTGACCTGTGTGCTGATGGAGGCTATCAGTCTCTAACTGTCAGGCGGATCAGTGCATCGTGGTGAAAAGTAATACAGAGTGCAACAGCGTACGATCAGCATATTTGTTATTAAGAATATTTTACTTCTGTATTCCACCAGCTTTTGTAACTTAGTCTAGCATTCAGTATTCCTTTCCTATCTTTGGTGTACTCTCCATTAGGGCTGTGCGATTATGGCAAAAATAATAATCACGATTATTTGGTCAATAATTGATATCACGATTATTTTGACGATTATTCATTGACCATTTATTGAACTTTAAAACAAATAATATTTTACCAATAAACAAGATCAATAAATGTGTTGGAGCGCACTTCCAAAACCATACTAAACATATATTAATATGATAAATAAAAATAAATTAGACCAAAATAAATGAAATCAAATATGTTGCAGTGCACTGCACAACCTACTGAAAACTCCTTAACATATAGCCAACATTTTGGTAAAACATATTCATTATTCCACTCAGTTAAACGTTGAAGGCTGGCCAACCGTCATGGTCCAGAAGTAACAGGAAATAAATGTTGAACTACAATTTAAGACCAAATAAAAATGTTTAGGCCACCAAGGTCACACCATGCTGGTAGGGCTGCTCATGTCATCTCTTAAAGATTTTTTGCAAGAAACACCAGCCTGTTTACATGGTCTGGTTTCAGAGATGAGCGCAGGCAGGGGACGATATTGCCACCTGTACTGAAGACCCTCTCTGAAGAGGAACTTGTGGCAGTGCTGCCACATATGACACAGGAAAAAAAGAAAGACTCTGAAGAACCCTTTCTTTGCCATTATATAAAAATAGTGTTGCTACAAAAGTATAAATTAGGCTTACTAATAAGACAACTCAGATCTGAAGCTACACAGTAATCTGCTGCAGCAACAGTGCAATAAAAAAGACAACATTAATAGAATCAAACCCATTTTTTGTTGCATTTTATTAGAGTATAAAAAGAAATGCCTTTAAAATAGGATGCAAGCAACACTAGTTTCTGAACTGATAGACTATAATCAATTTAAACAGAACAGATCTTAATGTTTGCATTCTTATACCATTTTGTACAATAATTATCATGAATAAGTTCAAACAAACTAAAACTTACAGCAGATTAATAACGGTATCTAACTTGAGTTTTTATTATATCAAAAACCTGTTGAAATGCTGCTGTTATTTTTACTGTCCCACAAAAGTGCGTCGGCAGCCTCCAGGAAAGCTTCTTTCATAACTTCGCCGTCTTCGAAAGACTTCATGTGTTTCGCAAGAACGTGACTGACACGATAAGATGCTCTGGTAGCAGCCTTGCTCTTGTTGTTGGGCCTGGTGAAAATGGACTGCTGTGCATTTAGCTGTGCTCTCAGGCCCCTCCCCTTTTGGAGCGTAGGGCAGAATTAGGAGGGAGTTCCATCTCGTAGCGTTTGTGCACTGTTTTGAAATGCCGCTCCTAAATTACCCTTCTTCGATAAAGCCACGCTCGCATTGCAGATGAGACAGATGGACTTTGAATTGGAATAGATACAAAAATAATCATCCTCCCACTCGGAGTGAAAATTATATATTTTGGGCTTTTTTGCTTCTGCCATAATTGCGGTCTTGTGTGTGTGCGTACTGTCACTCCTGTTGACCATCCATGCTGTTGACACGGACAGCGAACTAGTGCACTGCTCACCAGCCACGCCCGGACACATGGGGTGAGGCCGGCCAATCACAAAGCTTTGATGCGTTCAAGTGCATTATTCTGGCACGGGAACATTATGTTAAAGGACATTAACGATAAAACAGAATATTGTTGTTCTATTTTTAGACACATCTCGCGATCGACTGGGAATCTCCCCGCGACCCTTCTTTTTAACTAGTTGCTGCTCTTGTTCTGACATCTTCGCTTGCGCTGAACACTCACAACACATGTCACTCCCACGTGGCCGAGTGGGCTTTTAGGGAGGGGCGAAAGCGCATCCAGCAAAATAATCGTATTTTGTCAATTATGCTGTTTTCATAATCGTCGCAAGCCATAATCGTAATCGCGATTTAAATACGATTAATTGCACAGCCCTACTCTCCATACTCTAATGTCACATTTCCACTGCATGCTCTTCTGAACCCCACTTTTTGTAGTACCGGGTTCTGAGCCGATACTAGAAGGTGGAGTCAAAACACTGCAGACCACTGATTGTTCAGATAAATCAAAACTTCTCTGAACATTTTTAACATTGACTTTAATTAATTAATTAATGCCAACAGATTAAACATAATTGTGTAAAATGAGTTCAATAATATAAAGTTGAACCTAAAATTATTTTAACATTATATAATTGCTTTCAACTAACTTAAAACAATTATGTTTAATCTGTTGATAATAATTTCATTAAAGTCAACATTTCAATTTTTTCAGTGTTGTACACAGCATGACAATTGTAATCGTTAAGCTAACAACAATAGTCCCTGTAATCTTTGTATCATAGTAAAACTACAACCCTACAATGACATTGTACAATTGATGGTGGCGGATTCAAGGATTCAGTGTTTCATTGAAGATGATGTCATAGGAGTTTCACGTGGCATCGCTATCAGCTGATAATCCTGACTACACTGGAATCCAGCCTCCTGACCCTCCTGCCCTCACAAATACAAGTATTCATTTGAAGACATTTATTTTTTCTTACAATGATTGAGTATGCAGAAGCAGCCAACTAACTGATCCCTTTCATTATTGCCCTCACATAAGTGTTCCTTTTCTCTGTCACAATACTGTAGCGATCCTGATAGGCTACTCAGGGTGTCACTTAGGCATCCCCCGTCTCTCTGCCAATCATAGAGCTGCACCGTGATGGTGGCTGAGGTGCGGGCCTGTGGTTGGTGGAGCGGACGGGGGAGGGCGGGGAGTTGTGACGTGGACAGTGCTATATCTTGTGGTTGGTTTAGGAAATAAGTTAGTGTGCGGTAGAACCCACGAAGTGTACTTGACCTGTTATCATCTGTCTTCAAATACGAGTTATTAAAGCCTAATAACTACAAGCCTGTCTCCGACTCATCTTGGGAACGTTACATTGGTGTCAGAAGTGAACTTTTCGAACAAGGGACGTCTATCCGGACGAGAGTCGTAACTGCGTCACGGAGCTAGCCGGTAAGCTAGCGGGGATGGATAAGTTCAGCAAGATGGGAGTGAAGCAGGAACACAGTAGTGATGAAGAGGAAGATGGAGCATGCGGGTGGTCGAAGGACATGAGAGAGGAGTTCATGAGTGCACGGGAGGTGAGAGAGCGCCTGAGAGAGTCGGCGGTGAGGATGGCTAGAGACGCGGGAATGTCTCCGTCTTCTGCGACAGTTCGCGCCATTTCCAAGCTGGAGGTAAACAACAATGGCGGCGCCCATCAACCCGCAGCAGCCGCCGCCGGGTCAGTGAAAACACCCAAATTCTCGGGTAAGGCAGACTGGGAGGCTTTTCATGCCCAATTTGAACTGCTTGCTCATGCCGGGGGGTTGTCAGTAGAGACTAAAGCACTACAGCTAGCTTTGTGCCTCACAGAAGAGGCTCTTTCATGTCTGCTACTACTTAGCCCTGTGGACCGACTCAGCTATGGAGCGTTAGCGGGGGCTTTGAAGAGGCGGTTTGGACAGTGTTTCCCGCCAGAGCTGCTCCGGAACGAGTTGAGTAACCGCTGTAGAGAGTTTGGAGAGACGCTGCGTGCACTGGCTAACAACGTGGAGAGCCTGACGCGGCGGGCGTATGCACACATGCCACCCGGAGTACAGAGTGAGCTGGCACGTGATCAGTTCATCAGGGCCCTCCGGCCTGCGGACTTGAGGGTCGAGGTACAGCTGCAGCATCCACAGTCCTTACAGGCGGCCTTGGAGATGGCTGTGGAGAGGGAGAACGTGTGGAGTGGAGCTGCTAGGAGCGGCGGAGTGCCGGCGGTGAGGAGCTGCAGGGAGGAGGAGAAGCCTGCATGGGTTACCGAGCTGACAGAGATGATAAGGGCTGTTTCTCTGCAGCCAACACACAGACCAGACACCAGAGTCTGCTGGGAGTGTGGTCAGCCAGGACATTTTGCCAGAGACTGCACCAAGGCTCGGCGACGCCAGGGAAACGACGGGGGGCCCGCATAGAGGAGGATATGTGGAACC